TCAAACAGGCTATATCGGAACGGACTGCGCATGCTTTGGGCGCTCAAACGTAGCTTCTGCACATGGTCTGAAGAGGTTGCCACTCGCCTGTTCTCTTCTATCATTAGACCAATGCTAGAGTACGGTTCGCCCGCCTACTTTCCGATTACCTGAGGCGAGGCACAAAAGATCGAACGGGTCCAACACGTTGCTACCAGGCTGATCCCGAGTTTACGTGGCTTTGGGTATGAAGACCGGTACGAGAAACTAGGACTCTACACCTTGTCCTACCGTCGGGTACGAGTCGACCTCATTATGACGTACCGAATTCTACATCTCGGTGAGTTCCCCATGTTAAGGCCAATGCTGCACTTACGAGGGCCATGCAGCACACGCGGACACAGATACAAACTTGTTGTGCCGGATATGAAACGTGGTCCCCACCCACTGTGCTTCGAACGGAGAGTGGTAAACATTTGGAATAGTTTGCCCGAACATGTGATTGAGGCAACATCTGTGCAACAGTTCAAAACGTTGTTAGATTTGCATTTTGCCTCTATTCGATTCAGAGAACGACTGCATACTTACGATGACATATCACATTTGTGAATCCTGAAATATCGGAAGTCGAATATTTTAAATATTACATGAGAACGACAAGGATATTCACGGTTGAGAACTATTATAATGTTTTTCACAATATTTCGAAAGAGTTGTACAGAATCCATTTCTACTTGCTCTATAATACAGTATTCAGTATTCAGTATTCAGAATGAATTTTCCATATCCCCTTCGATTATAAGTTACAACAGCGGTATAACGCTGGGTAGCTATTCAAATGGTTCACTACGCGAAGTTTAGCGATGTCATGGCCGACGAAAAGATGTCCGTAAAACTTTTGCAACATTTGTCCCAATATGCTGATGACGCACGCAGCGCTGGCAAACACCTAACTGCTGCTACTATTGCTGCTGCTGTTGTTGTGATTGTTGTTGGTGGTCGTGGTCGTGGTCGTGGTCGTGGTGGTCGTGGTCGTGGTCGTGGTCGTGGTGGTCGTGGTGGTCGTGGTTTTGGTCGTGGTGGTTGTGGTGGTCGTCGTCGTCGTGTTGGTGGTGGTCGTCGTGTTGGTGGTGGTCCTCGTGTTGGTGGTGGTCGTGGTCGTGGTCGTGGTCGTGGTCGTGGTCGTGGTCGTGGTGGTCGTGGTCGTGGTCGTGGTGGTCGTGGTGGTCATGGTTTTGGTCGTGGTGGTCGTGGTGGTCGTCGTCGTCGTGTTGGTGGTGGTCGTCGTGTTGGTGGTGGTAGTCGTCGTTGTCGTGGTGGTCATGATGGTCGTGGTCGTGGTCGTGGTCGTCGTGGTCATCGTCGTGGTCGTCGTGTATTACTTGATTTAATCCGTTTAACTGGAAGGACGAAATAACGCTTTCGGGTAATCTCCGCAACGTGGCGATGTGAATACAGGAGTTTGGAATGTTCCTCTATATCATCTCTCCTCACGTCTCGCATCATTTCACTGTCCGCTCATTCGAACCGGATTTACCAGCCCTACACTGCCATCTGTCATATGTGGAATTATCTTCTACGATTAAAGTCAGTGCCATCACTAAGAGGCGGTTCACTAGCATCCGTGATTAAGCGCAAGCGGATAGCTCAATCACATTGTGCCGATTGACTTTCTGTGTGACACAGTTCGATACAGAATGCTTGATGCAGTCCGAATAGCCTAAGCTTATTCCAATCTAGCGTTTTTCAACGCAGCATTGAAAGAATTTGTGATCTCTCAAACTGTGTTCAGCACTGTGTTCAGATTCAGTTAGCAAGTTCCAATCACTCGTCAGTCCTTATGACGCTGTCGGCAAGTGCGCCTGCGTAACACAGCACACGGACACCGCGACTGCACCGACCGCTCATTCGCGCCGACAACAACAACGCTCGCCTGGTCGATGCGCACCGCTCTCAAAGCTGGAAAAGTACAGAACGCCAACGAACCCATTGGGTCAGGTAACGACACCACATGAAATGGCAGAAATGCGAATGCGCAAAGGCTGCAAGCTAAGGGCATTTTCGAATCAGGAGATTGTCATCCATTAGTTACAATTGGTTTGCCTGCTGGCGCTGTTTGGAATGGTACCATCCGAAACGTGCAAACATGCCACAGCAACAGACACTAGAGCGAAATAGCTTGCAAGATAATCTTCGGTTCTGTACTGCGTGCTTGACAATCCCACACGTTAATTGCTTGCTCATCCTAGTTAAGATGTGCAACCGGTGACCCGCAGAAGCCGAGCAGAGAATAAATGCTTGGTTTATTTCAATGGAATCGAGTATGCGTCAGGGAAACGTAGCGGCTTCCAAGCAACGGAATGCTGAGAAGCTGTTTTCCCTGAACCTCAAACAGTCACGACCCCATCTCCGTTCTATTCTCCTATTTTGGTAGAACGTAAGGAGAAAACGGACAGTACCTACTAAATTTAAATAGTACTCATGGCAACGACAAGCAGGCACCACTAGAAACGTCTGGTTAAGCAACTTCCACCAGACCTGAAATCTTGCATTAACAAGAATGAAGCAGCCGAACACCAACTCTCAATACCTGTAGCTCAAATGTCTCTTGTCGAGATAGAGCCCCTCGGAATCTCAGTTACATCTGCAGAGATTGCTGCAAATGTCACCCGGAAAGCCGTCGTTACTGCCTCTTCTTTTGTAAACACCGTTCACGTGAATCGCGTGACAAAGAGTTAACAATCAACACCCAAGAGTGACACGGCAAGCAAGAACAAGTAAACACAATCTTCATACATGCAGTGCCAGAACATCGATCTAACGATGTTCACGAAGCCGGAAAACATGATTTAAAATGTTGTCGGTTCATCCGTGAAACATGTTCTTTGTATAATATTGTGTTGCTATCGCTCAACAAGATATCTCTTTCACCTAATTATAGAGGATGCGACCCTAGAATCCTAAACTTGCGTTGGAATCAGAGCAATAAGCAACGAATGTGTTGGATCGATGTCAGGGATATCGGAAAAGCCTTCCTTCCGAACTTTGGTTAAATGTCACATAAGCTTTGCAGTTAAAACATCAAAGAATCTGAAGCAGCAAAGGTAACGAGGATGACACAGGAATTCCACTTGACTGTTGCTTTTATTGACTCTGACGCAGATCCAAACGATGACTAAGATGCACCTTGTCTCAATCAAGTAACGGACGAGTTATTATTATCTCAACAATAAGCGAGTAACTGCTGACTTCCCATCTGTCAGCATTCTCCCACTCTTGACCTTTTTAGCACTCTGTGAGCTCTCAGAGACGGATAAACTGGCCTGCTTCTATACAAATGCTCCTTTTAGCAAACTGGCTGAACTGAAATATTGCAAAGCTTCCGGGTCATATGATTTCAATGGTACCGTCGAGACCTGGTTGCACACGGCAATGACGAAGGCTGAATTTTCGTTACCAGACACGTCGTTAATCCGTAACTATTGGTCTTACAAAAAGAGGTA